TTAATCATGTGACTATAAGTAATTTTGACAATGTTATTCATGATTGATCCTCACTGATTTTATAAGTAAATTTTATTGTAAAAGCATAATCAGGCATTCCTGATTCATTAAGAATCACATGGGTATTATTATGACACATTAATCATGAAGACAAGCAAATCCAAAGAATTGTCCAGTTCATTTCACAGGTTATCAAAAACATGACTTTCTTTTCCAACTTCTCTTATGACTGTGAATCATACTTTTGAATGATAATAAATTTTAATTGTATTACTTTTGGAAAGTAATAAATCTCTAAGCTTACTAAATTGTCTCATTCTAGACATTTCTCTATAGTGAGACTCACCGGGCATTTTCTAAAGATGGTTCTTTCCCTGAAAGTGAATTTCTGTTTATCAGTCAAACTTGCTACAGATGTTATTGCTGTATCTAGGCTAGAACATCCGTAGAGTACTTAGCTCCCTGCGGACTAAAAATGTGACCATACGGTCCGTTTTCTGTCTGTTGTCCTGGTGAAATGATATATAGCACCTTCTTTTGTTCTCAGTGTTTGGATGATAAAGTCAATAGTCACACTAGCTATTGAGAAATAAAATGGTGGCATGGGGGGGGCGGGAGGAACCGAAGGAAAGACTTTCCAAGTGAACAAAAGTATCATGCTTGCCCAGCACCACCTCAGGGACACAAATACACCATAGCATAGGTCGTACAAACCTTAAGGATAAGATTATGGATCTTATTTAACTGACCATCTAAAAGAGTAAAATTTTTTTAAAAAGATGCTTGATATGGATAATAGCCTCATTTTCTAAGACACAGGTAAGTAGAGGCTAAAGCTGTTCAACATGGTTGTTAAACCTAGACTCCTGAGAAGGACTCTTTGGATTTCAATCCCAGTTCCAAATACTTCCATCTCCCTAAGCTTTGGTTTTCTCTTCTCTAATACAGTAGATGATAATAGTTCCTTGTAGCATAAGATGTGGGGATTCAGTGAGGTCACACATGTCAAAACATTTAGTACAGTGCCTGTCACATGCTAAGCACTTGACTAATGTCAGTTATTATTATTTAATGATATTATATATTCTCAATGACGAACTCAATTTGGCATGTAACTGACCTTCTAGATTCAGTGCAAATACATTCCTAAATATCACAGAATTGAACATAGCAAGTTCCAGTTTTCTTTTTCTCTAGATAGGATATATTCACAGTTAATTAATGAGAATCAAAGTAGGTATCATGTAAATAATGTATAATTTAAGATTCCAAAATAATTGAGTCACTCATCTATTTTTCATTCATCTAATAAATATTCAGAGCATGCTGTAAGTAGGTCACTGTGCCTTTTAATTAATACTGGAACACATACTTGAACTTACTCCCACCTGAAGATGAATGATGGTAATAGGGAGTAAGTCCCTAACTCATTGCAAAGCCTTTTTCAATGAGATAAATTCATTTTCTATAAGGTAGTATAGTAGCTATTCAGTAAACCATTTTGTATAAATCTATTTAAATGCCTCAGAGATGAAGACCTAGGGAATAAGTGAGCAGAAGGGACATTTTTTTCTTTTGATGAATTTGATTAAAGACAAACTTTCAGTGAGCAAAACTAAACAATGAAACCTTTCTTTAAAAAATTTTGTTTCTTTTAAGATAAAGTTTTGAATTGGATTCTGAGATGCTCTAAGGTACTGTAAGGTATTGCCGCAGGGAAGAGGAATAAGAAATTAGTGGAGGGAGCACAAATATTAATGCGCTTTATAGTACCATGCAAAGGGCTAGTTGCTAAATATCTTTATATTTAAAGTCAATACCTTATCTTATTAAAATAAAGGATAAAAATGAGGTTAACATTTGAACTATCCATGAAAAATAGAGAACAATAGGAATTTAAATAAATTGAAAGGGGCATACCCTGTATAACGGTTTAGGAATCAGAATTCTATTTGCTCACGAGATATTAACACATTATTAAAATCTGATGGGATGTTTTATCGTATTACTATGTAGTTTTCAAAGTAACAGAAGCAAACATTGACTCATAAAACCTTGTTTATCTCTGTTAAAATATTGTATTTTAATTCTTTAAAAAATTTTTTTAGAGATTTCTTGTTTGAGAGAGGGAGAGAGAGAGCACAGGGCAGGAGGGTCAGAGGGAGAGGGGACAAAGAGATTCCCAGGTAGACTCCACACTGAGAGCAGAGCCCAATGCAGGGCTTGATCTCACGACTGTGAGATCATGACCTGAGTCAAAACCAACAGTTGGTTGCTCAACCGACTGAGCCACTCAGGCACCCCTGTATTTTCATCCTGATGTCACAATTTAGATTGTTCTAAAAATAACTACAAATTAATGAAATTTGATTTTTACTTATATCTATTCAACACACATTTATGACATCTCTAATTTATCCTCTTTGTGGTAAGTACATGACACCGGAAGGAGACAAATGTATGTTTATAATACAGGGTAATAAACACAAAGAAATGTGCAGTTATTTGAGCAAATAACATGGTATACACTCCCACTGAGTATGAAAGATCCACCAGGAAATAACGTCAGATTAACGTTTTCAACGCTAAACTCAAGTTAGTCAATGGAAGGAGACCAGGGGGATAGCATTCTGCACCAAATCTGTATATGTCAAGACTAAGTCAAGACACTGGAGAGAGATTAGCCATTTGGAAAACTGCAGTATTAAGAAATGGCAAAGGTAAGCCTGCAGAAGTTTGGCATGGAAGCTTCCATATTAAGTTAACATAGCAAGATTTGTATTTAAAAAGATGATCGGGCAGCTATACAAAAAATGGATTAATAGGAAGATGAGATGGAGGTAGGAAAATCAAGACTGTTGCTGTTGCAGTTGTGAGAATGGGGTGGTGAAGGCAATGGGTGGAATGATGAACAGTGAGAAGGTCAAAGAAACAAAGATTCATAACTAATGAGTCTTAGTTAATAGAGGAGAAGAAAACATCACAATGAGTTCTGGGGTTTGACCCAAGTAACCAGATGCTGAGGAAAAAGAGAAAGATACCATGGGAGAAGATTTACATTAAAGCATAAACTGACTATGAAAGTATCTGAGAATTTTAAAACATCATTAAATCTCCTTATTCTGCAAAGCCCTGTTAGCTGGAAAGATTAATAGAATTTCCCAGGGTGTCTAATATATAAATGTGGAGCAGTTTTCCTACTTCAGCTTTTCTGCTTACTTAGTATTTTCAGCCAATTTACAATTGGTTATTATGAGTTAATCCATTTATCTTCCACATGAGGTTAGTTAATGGAAGCATTCCACTTTTAATCTAAGAGTCTGAGGTAATTTTCCAGAAGTTCTTCCAGAGAGAATCTAAAAAGCCAAAACTCAATTTTAATTTTCTGAGTACTTTTTCTGCTTAAGGTTACTGAAATGAATTGCCTTTGCTAGGAAAAACAGCAAGCATTGACACTTAAAAATTCAATTTACTATACAAATATTTCAGATTATTTTACCATGGGGCAGTAATTTCTCTTGCTTGAAAAACATCTAGCCTAAACAGTGTGGCAAAATGGACAGATACATACTGCTTATGAACTACAAATTGTTTTTGGTTTTAAATATACCCAATCATAACTATACCACTTTGAATTGGACTTAGTCAAATAACAGGTTTGACTAATTTTTCACTGAATTCAAATTGTTTGTATTAATGAAGTGAACTGACTGGTTGTCTGCCATCATAGAGCTACCATCCAAGAGAATGTTATCAAATAATGAATTAAACCAAAACAATGCATGGCTTATGGCTCTGAGACTAAGAATAAAATGAAATCTGCCATTACTTAAGGGATATACTCTAGTTCAATAAAATGTGCAAGTACAGTTAACACGCTTTACACAAAATAGTGCTGCAACAAAATAATGGGCAGCTTCGAAGTCACCACTTTAGGCATATTATTCCAATTAGTAATATTTTAACATTAGTTAAGATGCCATATAAATTATAATTTTCACTACCACAATTTTATCATTTTCTCAGCCAGTATATAATGTACATTTCTATAAGGTATTTTCTCCCCAAATCATTGAACTCCTCTTCTCCAAATATTAATCTTCTAGTCACCAAAAATTGCGGGTTCCTTGCCACCATCCCAGACTTCCCCTTTGGCTTCTGATTGTTCTGACCTCTGCTAGATGGGACCCACCAGCACTAAGGACACCCAGCAGGCTTCACATCATTGTCTTCAACCCAATCGAGTATACCGTAGTATGATTTTATAGTCCACTCAAAGCCACTGACAATGTTTCATGTCTATTCATATTTCATTTGGTTTGGTTACAGTGATTTTATAAAATATTTCAGTTATATATGCAATAGAAACTAAGCTAATTTTGAAGAAAAGTCTAAGGCATTTGCAACAGCATAGAAGAAGCCCTTTAGTACTTCTGGATTGATTTCAAACAACGGAATCATGACTATAAAGCACTAATAATGCATTTTTAGATATTTAGCCATCCATGGGTATCAAGACACCAGGTATCAAGTCAAAGATCCCAGGAAACCATGAACCACAGAAGCATCCCTGTAGCAGGGCTATATTATGACTATATGGACCTGGACCCAGAGCATCAACACCAGGTGCAACTTAAAAAATCCAAAACCCATGGCGTTGAAAAAATGCTCTACATAAAGACTAAAAGTCACTTTTGCCTGGTGTGTATAAGCAATGGAAATGAGTAGAACAAAGGTTGGGAAACATGTTTTTGTGGTGATGGGAGATTTGGAGCAAGTATGTGGTTATATTTCCTTGCCTTAAACCAGTATTTGTGGAGGCAAAGTATGTTTTTCTTGTGGAGATTGAAATCATTAGCAAAGGCAGAAAGTATTCATTTCCTAGTGAAGATGTTTTTATCCAATATGACAGAGGGTGAACATTACATGAAAATTATTACAAATATGTCTAGACATAGTAAGCATGACCGGAAAAAAAAAAAAAAACTTTTTAAGGCAAATAGCAAAAGTTTTCTCTTTAATGAATTCTTTGGTTATAAACAGGTCTTGAGTGACATTAGTTCTGTGTAGTATTAACCGGTTTTGCTGGTATCTCTTCTGTGCATCCCTTGATGACCAAGATGAAATTAATTATCCTGGTGATAGCTCATAGGATATATTGAATATAATTTACCTTGCTTTAATGTAAAATAATTACAGAAGGGAAATATATCTTTAGATCTGATACAGCATATATTATTACAAAGCTACTGCTGAGCATATTGCATAAACTTTTCATCCTTTTAAAAATAAAAACTCAGATATTCTTAACAGGAAACAAACAAAGCTGAAGTACAAACTGTACATCTTCCCATGACTCTTGACATGATGTTTCGCATTCACTGGTTCACAGATTCCTGAGTTAAATAAAGCATAATGAAACATAATTAGTATGTCCTGATTATTCTATAACTTATTATCACTTTAGCAAAGCAGAAAGTGCTAGAAAGGAGTGATCCAAACCACTGCCAAAACTAACAGTATCTATTTTCTACATACTCAGGAAAAAAATGTTGATCAACTATGAAAATTTTGATTCTAATCAGTAAAGAAAATAAGCTACTATGTATTTGTTCATAATGCCAAATATATGAGTATATGAGAATAAAAAAAGGAGAATCCAGAAAACCTAAGAGAGAAAAAAAAATAAGACCACATGAAAAGTAGTAAAAGGAACTAGCCCATGATGACAAATATATATACATATATATATGTGTGTATATATATATATATGTAGGGCAAAGGATTTATTTTTAGATTGGTTGCTACATGTTCTCTGACAGAAAAAAGATGTCATTTATTTTTGTATAACTATACATTTTCTCCTATAATATTCTAAACAACTATATTCAAACACATAGTGAATGATAAGGTCTCCTATGAAACTAAAAAGTGTAGCCGGAATAACAGTCTATGTACAGTGAATTTTACCTTTCATTTGGAATATCATTTGGAAGTAACTTACACTTTTTCTGTGCCTGGGGGCATTATTTTCTACGCCGTTGCTATCATCTGATTTCCTGTACGGAAAACAAAAAGAAAATCACTAGGTATTTACATGGCATTAAATCAAGTCAGTACATCATCTATATAGTGGCCATCAGGTTAAAATGTAAAAGGTCAATAGAGACAATTCATTTTTCCTAAAAATGTTTTACTCCTAATGCTGATTTTGTTTTTCTGCCGTTGCTTAGAGAAGAACTGTTGTCACAGATGACAGTGACCAGTCCTGTTTATTTTATGCAGAGGGAGAACTGCTTCTCCCCCAGCATGAGTGAGGACGTGGGTATATGGCCATAACTTGTAAGCAGTCTTGAGGCCCTGCAAGATAACAGCCAATCAGAAGGTCAGCCAACATGTGAGATACAGGTGCTATAATTCAACATATTTATCACAATGAATTAGAGGCTAAACATGGTTGTCTACTCAATGTGCATTGGGGCAAGACGACGAATGTGGCCTTCAGATTCTTAAGACAAGAACGACCAAACTAGGTAACAAGAGTGCATAATGAATACCCTTCTAGTGTTACAGGCAGGCCTGAGCTCATTAAGCTATCACCACCAGATAATAAATTCAACCACGTAATCCAAATTTGGGGGAGGGGCTGTCAGGCGAGATTATATGGCTTAAGTATATGAGTGGATCAGATAAATGAATGAGCTCCTCATTGAAATATTTGAAGTGACTAGCTTGTTTTGATGTTACACATTTAGTATGGTTTTAAGATTTATTTTCATCAAGGAACTCTATGACTCTTCCTGGCATCTAAACATATAAGCATTATATATAAATATATATATGTGTGTATATATATATATATATATATATATTCTGTCAAGTAAAATTTATCTCCTAACTAAAAATTCTAAAGCCCCATGTTGGGCGTAGGGATTACTTAAAAAAAAAAAGTGCATTGCTAACTAAAAATTCTAAAAGAACATTAGTAAAAGGTTGCTGCAAATGATTCAAGTGCCCTTGATACTTGTATTAAATCTAAAGATATTGAAATAAGAAATAAACTAAAAAAATAAATACTGCCAGAGCTCTCTGTGGAACAGTACAGGTAGAGAATATTATGTACACTATCCCAATTACCAATAAAAGAAAAGAAAGTAAATCATTTATACTATAGATTGAATCAGTTTGACATTACTCCTAAGATATTCTAGAAAAACGTATTTTAAAAAGATTTTAAAATTAGGGTAAGCTACATAAATGAAAATTAAATTAAGAATTGGTAAGTCTACTCCATACTGTTCTGGTGCCACCCCTTCTGCGTGTGTCTTAAATGAATCAGAATCCACTGAGACAGGAGCAGCCCCCAAATGTGACTGCAAGAGACTGAATGACCAGAAACACTGGGGAAGCTGAGCTGGGACAACAGCATTTGGGCAAGGCTATTAACTGTTTCGAATATCTGAATGACCGTCTTGTTTTCTGTATGACCCCAAGTATAAGAATAGGACACAGTACTTGGGAACCAGAAAGATAGAACATTCAACACACTCTAAACAAGATGTCCAAGTTCACCAGAAAGAGGTGCAGTTTCCTTCCAACTATAAGAGTTGATGCCAACCAAGTTGGTGCCAACAACACTGTTTTTTTTTTGTTTTTCCTATCTGAGGTTATGGAACTCCTGATATGATTATTTCGTGCCCTTACTTTAGAAGCTCATATCGTGTTGATTTATTTTACCTGCCATTTGTGAACTGAGTAAAAATAACTATTTGAATAATGTCTACAAATATCTAAATGACAGCTCTCCCACTCTTTAACCATGGCTAGAGACCTCACCTCCGAACTTGTGCTGGCCAATGAAGATAAACCTCCAGTGCCATTCTCTGTGGTTATATGTGCTCAGGCCTTCCATTTCCAACATTTCTTTCAGCTGCTTTAATCTCATCTCATTTTCCCGGTCCAGCCCTTGGCTGTGTTACTCAGACTTTAATCCCAGTCTCAGGCACCTCCATCACCGGATTCCATGCTCAGTCCTTCGGCTGAGAGGAACTAGTCACTCCTGTCTTGACCAAACTAAATTATATCCCTGATGCTTTTCTTCTCAGCCCTCCTCCTGTTCCACTCTGAACAAAGGGGCTGTAAGAGAACCTGGGGCACAATATCTGTTCTTTCAAAAATAGTGACTAATAAAATTCTAGCCCAGTGATTTTCCATATACGAGTGACTTAGAATCAGTGATAGACAGGGCGCATGGGTGGCTCAGTTGGTTAAGCGACTGCCTTCGGCTCAGGTCATGATCCTGGAGTCCCAGGATCAAGGGCCGCATCGGGCCCCCTGCTCAGCAGGGAGTCTGCTTCTCCCTCTAACCCTCCCCCCTCTTGTGCACTCTCTCTTTCATTCTCTCTCTCAAATAAATAAATAAAATCTTAAAAAAAAAAAAAAGCATCAGTGATAGACATTTTAAAGAAATACAGATGCCCAGGCACCACTCCCAGAGGTTCTGATCCAGGAGATCCAGTAAAGTCTGAGCAACCATATTTTTAAGGAACATCCTAAGTGACCAAAAATATAGCCAGGGTTAAGAAATTCTGACTTACACAAATAATACTTCCTTATGGTTATTGAACACCCCTGTGCATCAAAGCCTATGCTAAGCATTTTTACATACAGAATATCATTTAATCCAAAAGCCTTATAAGCAAATACTGTAATTAAAGCCATTTTGTTGAGGACAAAATTGAAGCACAGAGAGGTAAAAAGTGAATGGTAGAGGGGGGGTCCTAATTTACGCAGGCAAACTCCACATGCCTCTCCACAACATGGATGTGTACAGAAAACAACACACATATAATATACTCTTGTGTTTTTGTCCAAACAGCAAACTTTTTTTTGATTTAAATTCAATTAACCAACATATAGTACATCACTAGTTTCAGATGTAGACTTCAGTAACTCATCAGTTGCATATAACAACAAGTGCTCATCACATCACATGCCCTCCTTAATGCCCATCACCCAGTTACCCCATCCCTCCACCCACCTCCCCTCCAGCAACCCTCAGTTTGTTTCCTATAGTTAAGAGTCTCTCATGGTTTGTCTCCCCCTCTGATTTCTTCCCATTCAGTTTTCTCTCCCTTCCCCTATGATCCTCTGCACTATTCCTTATATTCCACATACGAGTGAAACCATATGATAATTGTCTTTCTCTGATTGACTTATTTCGCTCAGCATAATATCCTCCAGTTCCATCCATGGTGGTGTAAATGGTGAGATGTTATCCTTTCTGATGGCTGAGTAATATTCCATTGAATATATATATATATATACCACATCTTCTTTATCCATTCCTCTGTCAATGGACATCTGGGCTCTTTCCATAGTTTGGCTGTTGTGGACATTGCTGCTATAAACATTGGGGTGCAGGTGCCCCTTCGGATCACTACCTCTGTATCTTTGGGGTAAATACCTACTCTAACTGCAAACTTTTATTCAATTTTATATTTATCTCTATTTTACTCAAGTGAAAATTAATCTGTAATACTTACAACTGCTCAACTTGTTCAAATTCTTTCCCATCATCTGTATAACAAAAGAGGAATTTATTAAGATTGGTTTATTATTCTTACGGAGCATGTATGTTGAATTCAACTTTCCCCATGTTAAGAATGCACTGTATGGTTTTCCCTCTTTGGAACGAGAGAGACATACGACATGAAACGCCTGCACATCCATCACATTCTCCTCTTTCCCTGCTCTCCAGACCTTACCTGCAATTTTCATCAAGCATAGTCTAGTGCCTGGGATTTTCAAAATCAGACTGACTGATTTGTAATTCTTTAAATTACTAAAAATTTAGTATAAAATCAGAAAAGAATACAGAATGTAAGATAAATTTTCTTGGGGAACCATTGGTTTCTCAACCTGCAATCTATCAAGCACATGCCACAAAAATGGAGAACTGACCAGACAATGTCTCTTTTATGAGAACTCCAGAATGTTTGATAAAATATTTTCTAAGTGAGTTATCTAAGAGAAAGACTGTTTGTCTTTGAGGTCTTTTACGTTAAGCTATCACAGAATCTTCTATTATTCTAGTACCAAAGCACATATCACCTCTTTGGTGTTGAGGTACCAGTAACACCAAAGCAAAAGGAGAAAAAGTATATTTTCATCCTAAAATTTTTTAGGAAGTTGAAATAGAAAGACCATCAATAAAAGCTCACATCCCTGTCACCATTAATGTTAAATAAACACCCCTCCAAATAACAAAAGTTAGATATTTCCCCAAAACTCTAAAGCCATTATAATGTATTAAGTCATAACATAAGAACATTATCTAAAAAAAGAAGCCTTACCTGTGTGCATCTTTTTCTTTTGGGTGTACATTTCACAAAACAGAATAATAGCCACTAAAATAATAACTTCAACAACTATTCCAAGAAATGGTTTGAGGGGTACCAAATAACTCAGCACAATGAGTTCAACGTGTATTTGGCTCTCGCCTAATTGGAACACTGCATGGCACCAGTAAGATCCCTTATCATCTTCTGAAAGTTGCATTATCTTGAGCCTTGTTTCATTAGCGTTCGTTCCATTGATCGCATACTTATCATTCACGTGAACATCAACAGGAACCTAATATAAGGAGACATCAAAACCCATTCCTATCATATTGCATAAAAGACACATGTCCTAAATGATCGCGTTTTGAGCAAAAGCTATAAGGCATATTAAAGTTTATGAGAAGTTTACATAACAGAGTCCGAGAGCTTCATCTCCCAACGGTAGCAAAGGGAAGGGATATTTTAAGTGCTAAACACTCCGTGTTTGAAACTATAGTGTAGGTCATCATGGGTAAATATTAGAATTAAAGATACAGAAAAATTCCAGCCATCTGGGTTTCTCGATCTAACCCCCAACTAGCTATTCAAAGTACTTCCCCCTTCATAAGAGCAGGCACACATCAACTCAACTCATGAATTAATGAAGCTATTAGATGTGATCATTCCTACAAAGGCAGATCACTGGCTCCTGACACTGGGAGTTCCTCAGACTGGAAATGAGGATGAAATCTCCAGGCCTTTGAAGCTGATGTAGCGGGAGTGGTAGAAATCCCGGGAGCCCAGGATATGTGATTGTCTGCGCACCTGTCTTCTCATAGCCGAATGGCTTTCTTTCTCAGGCAAGCTGACTTCTGAGAGTCCCTGGATTTTCCCCCAGCCTCTCAAGAGCCATACTAAGCTATTTTGGAGCTGATTTATTTAACCCATTTAAATTAAAACTTATTCTCAGGCCATCCGATGCCTTCACTGTGCTATCACTCAACTGCATTGCTCAGTAAATGCTCATCTGCATGCAAATATTCTTGGAGGTTATCTGATCAAGAACTGTGAGTTTATTATTTGCTCCCCCCCCCCAATTAAAGCGACCTGGCTCCCTGTGCATAGCACTGCCTGTACTGCTTGTTCAAATGTACCCTCCCTAACTCGGAGCTGATACATGCAAGTAATGCATGGTTAATGGGCACCCCAGGTGATGCAGAGGCAGGTGGTCGGTCTGCATCTTGAAAAAACACTTGACTTAAAGTTGTGACCTGTACCCACTTCCCTACACTTCCCTCACATCCTAATAGGACCCGTGTTTAGGGCCAAATTGAGAGGAAATTACTACAGCCAATGGAGAGAAGCACAGACTATATTCTAAGAGTTTAATGTAATTAGATTTCGGTTATTTTTTGCCTAGTATTACATATAAATAAATAAATTAGGCTATGTATGTCAAGTACTACAACAGATATTTATCTTTATCAATTTACATACATTTTTTTTAATAGTTACCTACTCAAAATGATTGCCTTTCCTAATCATCAACAAGAAAAGAAGCAGAAATATTAATGATCTAAGTCTACCCCTAAGTGATGTGGAGCTTTCTCTAAAAGTCAAACCAATGTTATCACAGAATCAGTCACTCTCCCTTTTAAGTCCTTTCCTCTGGTTCCCTTCAACAGTCTATGGCAGTACCAATTTTGCCTAAGAAGGAACCTAGTATTTCATTGTAAGATCTACGCTGTCCCATACTGTCCGTCCATCCTAGAATTACAGCTTGCCTTTGCAGGACTTTAATTTCAATGCTCATTAGTAGCAGAGCAATAGACAGGTGTCTCCTGAAGGACAATGTCCTAAATTTCCCTGCTATTAGAGGCTATTTGGGAGGAAGAAAGAGAGTGAGAAATGATTTTCTGAATATGCATGTTTTTCTTATTATCAGCTCTTTGAATAGCCATTAACTCTTTAATAGGAACGTAAAGTATTTGGCTTCTCTTTGGATTCTGGAAGGCCAAAAGAGGCCAATGACCCTGAAAGAACCCAAGAGCTAAGTTTAAGTTACCAAATTTTCATTCTTTTCTCAAATGGCACCACTGTATTGCATTCTTTCACAAATGTTTCCAGAGACTGAAGCTGGAAAAGAAAACTACCTTTTTTTTCTAGATACTTTCATGGAATGATAAGAAAAGAGAATCTTTTTGTTAGGGTTATTTCTAAACTCATCAACTAAAAATGAATGATAACTTCCTTTCAAAGAATTGAAATAAGTTGCTAAATCTGAAAAACAAAGTACCAGTTAAAACAATAAGAGTCTCTTCAGATGTATAATGCAATATGCTAAAAACATGAAATGACAACTCCACGGTTCTTTCTTTATGAAGACATATTAAATAATAAGATAAAGGAGTACAAATAGTCCTAGGAATTCTGAGTCCGTTAATAATATTATTTATGGAATAAGAGTTTTCATTTTGTCTTCTTCGAATCACAGAAATATGATCTTACCTGTATACTCCCGTTACTACTGTACCAGGTCCAGTTTAAAGGAGAACAGTGTTGACATTTACATATCAAGACAGCTGAATCCCCCACATAAGTGACCAATGGTTTGTTTTTTCCTTGAACTTCAGGGACTAAGAAAAATTTAGAGAAAGACATGTTCCTGAGGGAGTTTGAATAGGGAAATGTATGCAAGTTGAAGACAAATTCTCCTTTCATTTTCTCATCAGTATGATTCTCTTTACATAATTTTAGTTTCACATGACATGAAACCATCTCTTTAATTGGAGTATAGTTGATACACGGTATTATGTTAGTTTCAGGTGTACAACATAGTGATCAGACAAATCTACATGTTATGCTATGCTCACCACATGTGTACCTACCATCTATCACCATGAAACACTATTATAATAGCATAGACTATATCCCTATGCTGTACCTTTCATCCCCCTGACTTATCCACTCCATACCTGGAATCCTATACCTCCCACTCCCCTTTACCCATTTTGTCATTTCTCCCACCACACCGCACCCCTCTGGCAACTACCAGTTTGTCGTCTTTACGACTCTTTTTCTGCTGTTTTTGTTCATTTGTTTTGGATGATAAATTTCCTAAGAAAGTTTCAGGCAGGTGCCATTAGTAACAATAAAAATGACCACTGAATTTAGAAAAATTAAGTTTTAAGGATATGAATAACTTGATAAAGAAAATCAAAACATAAAAACATAAGCAAAGCAATAAAAAGACAGCCAATAGCTCCATGGTGCAATCAGTTTCTTCTCAGTGACCTCAAAGGATATATTAATGAATGTGCACTTAGACTGGAGGTGTAGACTGACCAACAAAGGTTACTTTTACTTTTTTTCTTTTACTCATTTTAGCGGATTTTTGGTTTTATGTTTTTTTCCTTTTTTTATTTGGCAACAGAGAGAAAGCACAAAATTGTATCTAAATTTTTAATGTTATATTGACAAATTTTATAAATATTGCTTGATATTCACTTGTTATCCTATTTTTATATTTTGTTTTGGGGAGGGCCAGGGTAGAAATAGAAAGATCAGTTTTAAGTACTAAAGTCAGCTTTCTAGATTAAATACATTCTCTAAGTGCTCTTGGCTTTGTACTACCCAAAGATAATTGAGCATTTGCTGGATGAATCATAAAGATGAGGAAGGGGGAAGTAATTGGTAATGACTAGAAAAGAAATTCTGACTTGTATAACTACCAAAGAAGTGGTACAAATAGGGTTGGAGAATAGGATTTCTTTATGGGTTCTGTCCTCAGGTGATTAAGATTACAATGATGGGTGTGGAAGTCTTCTTTTTTCCTTATTGTTTAAAATGTGCCTAAAGAGGGGCCTTAGTCTGTTAAGTGTCTGCCTTCAGGTCAGGTCATGATCTCAGGGTCCTGGGATCGAGCCCCACGTCGGGCTCCCTGCTCAGCGGGGAGCCTGCTTCTCCCTCTGCCCCTGCTCACCCCCCACTTGTGCACGTGCTCACTCTCTCTCTCTCAAATAAATAAATAAAATACTTTACAAATAAATAAATAAGATGTGCCTAAATACAATTGCACATATCACCCTCTCCTTCATCAAGGCTGCTGACCAGCTGAGTGTTGAATGAGGCAGTGCTAATAAAAAAGAGATGCAAATAAGAGGAAGGTATGTCACACTCATGACAGCATAAATGCTTCAAGTAATTCATACGAAAGATAATAGAGCAATCTATAAACCAGTTGTTCTCACACTTTTCATAACCAAGGAAACATGTTTTGATGAAACTGAATGGTCTACAATTTTACATTAACCAAAGCTGTGAACTGCCTATCAGAATTTATACTCACCCACTGATACTTAATGAAAACCTAGTCAGGTACCACTAGGGCACTCCTGAGAGAGGAGACAGGGAGTACGAGTGATTACCTGGATTTAAGACATCCCAGCCAGAAGATATTCTGAGCACTCCTTTTGACTGAGGCCACTAGGGTCCCACACTCCCAATCGGGTCACCCTCAGGCTGAGGGATATTTAGTTAATATGTGGTGAATATGTGTCCATTTCAAAGGTCAGGTCATTAAGTGTTTGAAGGAAGTCAGCACAATGTGACAATGATGTGACAAAGAATTGATTTGGGTCCAGGAAATACACACACTCAAATTACAGTTTCGGTGTTACTAACGTTGAGTTCTTTGGTCGGTCATAACCCATCCTACTGTGTTGTTGTAAAGGATTAAGTATGAGATCATAATACATGAAGTGTTTGGTGCAAAGTAAACACCACAAAATTGTGATCATGTACTGGTACTGCTTTTCTTAACTGACCTCCCTTACAATTTGTAATACCCATGGCCTTATTACGTAGTGGTCATGAGCCAGCTTACTAGGATAGATCATCATCATGTGCAAGAATGATTTCCAGGTAAGCCAGTCGTGTGGAAGAGAGAATAAGACTTAGAATATAAAAAGAGAACTGGAAATTCATCTGAATACATCTCAGAACTGTAGGAACATGTAAGAACACCCCAAAACATAGGAAAGGCTCCAAACTGAATGCTTTATAGACCCCCCAGCCCAAGTGAGAAAGGAGATTAAAAGAGTAAAATGATGAAAAACTCAAGGGTATGAATCACAGGAGACAAGGCCCCAAAGAATGAAGAAACAGGAGCTTTGAGATCCCTTAATAACATCTATTTTAAACAACTTAGTGAGGCTGTAAAACAAATTCTGCTTGAAACACACATTCAAGTACTTGGCGAAAGCAGCTGAATAAGATTTTTGTGTAAGGATTACAATTTCAGGATAAATTAAAACAATTTAAATCAGGGCGCCTCAACCCTGCTCCTTACCATAACAAGAAATTACATTGGTTAAAAGTTAAAAAAGAGGGGCGCCCGGGTGGCTCAGTTGTTAAGCATCTGCCTTCAGCTCAGGTCACGATCCCAGGGTCCTGGGATCGAGTCCCGCATTGGGCTCCCTGCTCAGCAGGGAGCCTGCTTCTACCTCTCCCACTCCCCCTGCTGTGTTCCCTCTCTTACTGTGTCTCTCTCTGTCAAATAAATAAAGTCTTTAAAAAAAAGTTAAAAAGAAACTCTTGTTTCCAGACCTATGTAGTATACAGAGCAGAAAAAACACATGGAATAATAACCTCACATATTACATAGAATCTAAGAATAAAAAGAAAAGGGCCCGTTCACCACATACTGGTTTTAACAAGAAAAAGCAGAATAAAGCAACTGGTACTTTGACATAACCTGTGACTGAAATTTTTAAATAAGAGAATAATTGTTATCCACATGCATTTTTTAAATAAAAGTAAAGATGGTGTCTCTCATGTAAGTGTTCTCCCTATTAAGTCAAACTACTTTTGTTTTGTTCAGTTTCCTCAGTCTGTGGCTACCTGCCTCTGGGCTCATCTGGGGACCCAGACAGCAGTCTGCTGCAGGAAAATAACCAATAGAGGAAAATTGAAAGCAACTCTAGGATCCAAGAGAATAGGCTGACCATCTGTCCCGATATTAACGTAACTATATTTTAAGTTCTTGAGAAACAAGACAATAAATTTCAGCATCAAACTGTTACAGGCCTAAATTACACTGAACCACAGAATATTTCATTCTGTTTGTTTTTTTTTTGAAGATTTTTTTTTTCATTTATTTATTTATTGGACACAGAGAGAGCTCAAGCAGGGGGAGCGGCAGGCAGAGGGAGAAGCAGGCTTCGCACTGAGCAGGGAGCCCGATACAGGGCTCAATCCCAGGATGCTGGGATCATGACCTGAGCCGAAGGCAGCCGCCTAACCGACTGAGCCTCCCAGTACCCCCTCCCCCCATTCTGTTTTTCTTTCTCATGGTAGATCTAGTTTCCTCACTAGACACTGGAGGTGGTGTCAATAAAAGGCTGAGCAGTGGCCTGTGGACTGAAGTCCCCGGTGACCTCACTAGACATTCCCTCCTCTCATTCAGCCCTCCAGTTTTCCAGTCCTAGAAAGGAGGATTATCATGGATTAGTCATGGTCCAGGGCACTGATTGGGCCCTGTTTTCTAGGGATAGAAATCTGGAGGTATAAATAACTCAGCCTCATGCTCAGCATATTTTTCCTGGCTCAGGAGGGTGTTATCCTCCTGTTCAGAGGAGTAAAGACCTAACTGACCTTGGGCTGTGAAGGAATACAAGGTCTGCTTTGGCTTGAGGTTAGTACGACCTCATTGAGGAAAAAGAAGCTTTCCATGTGGCAAAGCCTTCCAAGAATTTCAGCAAGGTTTGTGGCCAAGGCTGGCCAATAACAAAATGTTACTTTGCCTTAGTGTCCCTTTTTTGGTGTGTATTTCCTTACTTGAGATTTTGCTGGGAAAAAGAATGACTGGACCAAGTGAGAAGGAAGTTATTTGAGGGCCTCCTGACAAAACACGATCGATCTATCAGTTCAAGACTGCGACCTAGTCATACTTCATTCCAATATGCCCAACACCTGGTGTGGCTTTATTATTAAATGAAGTATGAGAACACAGAAGCTCCTGGAAAGGTCAACCCTACTTTAGGGGAGGCCTCAACTAAAGACCTGCAGATAAGCACAGATTCAAGCTTGGCTAAAATAAGGATTCTTTTCTGAAGCCACTAAGTTCCTTCCAAACCTCAGATAAGCAAAACCACACTTCTCAAGCTCCATGTGAAAAGGTGGACATTAACCACTGCTCTGCTATGCTTTATATGACTGATAACAGCAGTGTGGATCTAAATTACAAAAGGCACCATGGTCAGGAAACACCAGTTTGTTGGAACTTCTCCAGAGGCCCCAGTTGGTTCTGGGCTGCTACTTATGTTTGGAAATATTTATGCAAAGAAGCACAGCGATACGGTATTCTAATATGTTCTGTTGACCTTTTGAAACTTCAGATAAGGCAGAACCAGTGAGAGTCTTGGATTGGAAGACTCTAAGTTTGAAGATGCTGAAATTGCTGATTCAAACTAGTGTCTAAGAAGATGGGGCCTAGGATCTACCTGATGACAGTCAAAGCCCTATGGAGTTGTAAAGTTAGAGATTTATATCATGAACTAGGAAGAAAATCAGCCTGGGTCATTTTTGGCCCAAGAACATTTAAGTATTACCAAATTAGGGAAAAGATTTTTCCACATAGTCAAAGACAGCTAACTAGACTTCAGCACTGGGGTTTGAAGCTGAAGTTCCAACTGATTCTTCCATAGTACTATTCCATATTTTGACTCCTTGGATACTTACTAGTGAAGACAGATGGCTAGGCCAAGAGAGGCTTCACAGCACTTGGCACCATCAAAATCTCACCAAGACTTCTCAAAAGTTCTATGTGCCATTACTTACTCTTCATCAACTAAATTTCTGCATCTTTTCTATTAAGAGATTTTAATTTTTTCTTTTTTTTTTTAAGATTTTATTTATTCATCTGACAGAGAGAGAGAGAGCACAGGTAGGGGGAGTGGGAGAGGGAGAAGCAGGCTCCCCGCTGAGCAGGGTGCCAGATGTGGGATTCGATCCCAGGACCTGGGATCATGACCTGAGCCAAAGGCAGACGCTTAACTGACTGAGCCACCCAGGTGCCCCTCTAATGAGAGATTTTAACACTGATGCATATCATAGAAGTTTTCAGCAACTACATCAGAATAGTTGACCCCGCAAAAAAAAAGAAAAGAAAAAAAGTAAAGGGGGAGGGGGTACTGGAACTAAGTTGACCGCTACTGAGAAACACGGTAGCCCACCTCTCATCTTTCTTGAATGAAAAGTAATCACGACATGTTAGCACTTGCAAGCTTCCAGTGTGACTTTTGCTCTCTCTCCTGTACTAGCATCAACAGCCAAACACACAAAGTCAGCAGGTTTTTTTGCATTGTACTAATCAGTGATTTGAGGCCCTTTTGTAATCTTGTAGTTATAAATCAACCAGCTCCCATAAAGGCAGAAGCAGGGGCTTTGCTGATGAGTTGTTCTAAGGACTCAGGCTCATGCACTAGTTGACTCATTTGATCAATGGCAGAATGGGGTTTTTTTGGCTGAATTTAAAATAGAGGATAAAAAAGGCTTTTCAACCACACTCAACTTAGGATTGCTAAGGAAAAATAAGCCTTCTTCTTAGGAAAACCCATAACCCATAAGCAAGTCATGGGGAGACATAATATAATAGGATATTTATAAAATATTTATAAAAATAGATGCCATCCTATAAGCCTTACAGATCTAATTAAATAATAACTATAAAAGAATTGTTCTGCAGATGCCTTTAAATTGTAATCAAATGAAATTACTTCTCCAAGCAATATTCAATTTAGACGAGTTACAGGAAAATATTATTTTACTAAAGAAGATCTGGAAAGGGCTAACTTACTAATTTTATAAATATCTTCGAGACATAGTGTATACTTAAAAGTTATATTAATGTTAAGTGGGCATTAAAAACTAATTAACTGGGGGCGCCTGGGTGGCTCAGTCGTTAAGCGTCTGCCTTCAGCTCAGGTCATGATCCCAGGGTCCTGGGATCGAGCCCCGCATCGGGCTGGCTGCTCAGCTGGAAGCCTGCTTCTCCCTCTCCCACTCCCCCTGCTTATGTTCCCTCTCTTACTGTCTCTCTCTCTGTCAAAAAATAAATTAAAAAAAAAAAAAAAAGAACACGTCTTCATCAAACAGGTTGGGAAACTCTCACACCTGTATTTGAGTTTAGATTTAAAAAAAAAACAACAAAAAAAACTAATAAACTGAACTAAACTACTTTAAGAAAACTATAAAAAGAAAAAAAAAAACCATAGTAAATATTCAGTGGCTCTTTGCATTTCTCAAGCACTTGATTTCAAACCTAAGCCTTGTGTTGGTGCTCCTGACACCAGCCAGATGATTCAGGCTGGTCATCTCAAAATAGATATGGAATCAAGAGGCTTTCTCCAAGACCACATGGCATTGAATGTATTGGTATATTGAAAAATAAAATGCTTCTGTTAATCTTTCACATTTGAGGCAGGACAGATCATTGCCAAATAATAATTTAAGTAATTTAAATTACTTAATTTAAAGTATTAAGTTACTTTATTTTTTTTTAAGTTACTTTACTTTACTTTATTAAGTTACTTTACAATATTTAAACTTTGAACAGGTGTAACTAGTACATATTTCTAGAAAACAGTCCTATCTAGATGGGGAAAAAAGCAATTTTTAAAATTGAATCTCCTGGAATCACTTTAAGCCTCAAGATTTGATGAGTATTCCCTCAAAATCTATAGGCCTTCTTTACATATTTAAAGGAAATTCAATAAAATGTTTACTAGAGGACTGTGTGGGTGTGTACATGTGTTTAACATCCTCTTAGCTCATTAGGAAGGAAAGAAAGAAGGGAGGAGGAGGATGGGGAGGGAGGGAAGGAAAGAAAAAGACAAGGGAAAGAAGGGAATAAGAGAAGGAAATGTATGGTGCATCTATCCTTCACTAAATTAAATTAAGCAAACAGAGGAAAGGAGGTTAAGAGAGAATGTACATGATCAGAATAATCAAAGGATGGGAATAGTTTCTGCCTTTGCAGAGACCAAATTGCATAAACACAAGGATTTATTATATTTACCAAGTAAGAACATTTACAAAACCACATGAAGAAAATGAGTCTGTGAGAACAGAGGGAATATAGGGAGGGATGTAGGGATATAGGTGCAAACCACCTTAAATCATGATAATGTTGAAGCAGGCCATTCTGCTATTGATGGGGCCTTGGAGACAGTATCCGTATTTTGTCAGGGCAGCTAGCCAGACCTCACAATTTTCAGGAAAAATGGAGAACAGTTTCTCATGTACCTTGGGAAATTAATGTGAAGCAAAACCCAGAACAGTTAATATGGCAACAGACCACATTTCCCAGATACCAGCACGGACACTGTGGTTCCCTAATCTATCACAGAATAGGGGTTTTTCATGAAGATAAGTGTCCAGCTCAGTGACTAGTCTGTCTTACGAGATTGAGACCTTTATAGTTTTGGTTTAATGATAGTAAGAGGAAAATATTCTGATTTTACTTTTTCTTGTTCCAGAGGGAAGAGCTATGGATTTTATACATCACTGTATAAAGGAGGGCCGAATATTTGAGGAGACCAAAAACTGGCAACCCTTTGTGCATCTCCATATTATTTTTAAATTTTATGGATCCCTAAAGCCCCCAAGTCCTGGACCCACTGGTACAGAACACCAAAGCATATTCTCACACATGCCTAAAGGGACAGTACATAAAAGCTCTGAGTTTAGTCGGCTAAACAAATGAATAAGCAAATAAATTCAAGAGACTGTTACAAATAACCTGGCAGCCCCATCTTTCACACTAAAATCTGGATTTAAGCTAGGGGAGGGACAGGAGTGGGAATGGGTTGGGAAATGCAAATGCTACCACTGGGAAGACTGGAAAGTTCCATTTTTAAGGTCACCACTTTAAGATTCAGTGGAAAGTATATGATTTTCTTTCAGCTCATTATGTTTAGTATTGTAATGGTAATTCAAAAATTTGGGGATTCAGAATTCTAAAAATATAATGCTGAAGTTATTACTCTATAAATTATTAGCACTAACCTCTGAAATTAAATGTGCCCCTTTGTTTCTTTTCCTCTTCAAAGAAACACGAATAGTTTCCCATTTGATTGCTATTAATGATGGTAAACCTAAAGAGAATTTATTAATATAGGTTTAGTTCTCAAAACACTTCTTGATAAAAATGAAAAAGACTTAGCATTTAATCAAAATTCTAAAATAGAAACAATTCTGTAAATATGGAAATTAGAATACTAGCATAACCTTCAAGAGACAGCAAAGGAAAGAATGCCCAGTCATCAAAAATGTTTAAAAGGTGATGAATTTCATCGAGCCATGCAGGTGAAAATTTTATGTACTCACATGTACTGGGTATACAGGATGTTTCCTGTGGCATTGATGCAATAATTCGTAAGTTGTTCATCACCTTTTTTCCAAGTCACATTTACTGAATTCACATCCCCAGATGCCGTGAATTTGCATGTGAGTTCTATTCTAGAAGGTCGTTCTAAAGTGATATTTTTTTCCACTGGCACACTGGACTGTGCTATTAGCCACAAAAGAAAACAAGACAAAACAAAAAAGATGTTGTAAAAGTTACATTTAGGGGAGATCCAATATATAGAAAGCAGGTTTAAGTCATCAATAACAATGCTCTATCAACAATTTCTTAATGTAACATTCCTTTGAAGAATTATTCCTCTGTCGACATAGATTTGGTTCCCTTTATTATTCTTTTTCATAGTCACAGCGGAAGAAAGTGTTTGTTACATTCCCTTTATTATTCTCTTTCATAGTCACAGCGGAAGAAAGTGTTTGTTACATTACCAGAATAGCAAAAGCCTGAGGCTATAATCTTAATCTCCTTAAAATTTCCAGCTGACAAGGATATAGGGGAAAGAGCACTGTATAAAGGAGGGCCCTATGCTCTGACTGTACAGAAACACTCCAACTGTAAAAGCAAACAAAACCTAAGGGAGAGAATGGAGTAACTGCTTTGATTCCTTTAAGGAATCGTGTTATTCAGTTATTACAAGAACGTTTTGTGTAGAATGTGGGTTTGTGTGATATACTAATTCTGTCATTCCTAGTCTTCTTAGTCCTTAAAAACTTGTAGGGATTGGACAAAGATACAGATGAACGGCAGAATTCAAACACTCATCCTGTACTTCTGAATTTTCATCGAATTTGAAATTCTGGTACAAAACCACGAGGTGATATATCTCTCTATAAGTATATAGATAGCTATGTCCCACTTATGGCAGATACACTAGAGCCAACTTTTTTTTTTTTTTTTTGAGCAGTAGTAAATAAAGGAAAAATACCAAACAGGTACACTGCTCTTTCTATACTAAATGTGCAATTGGTAACCAGATAATAGAGGAGGAAAACTTTCTTTTTATACAGTTCCAGCCAATAAGTGAAGAAACTCTAGAAATCTGACACAATGAGCTGTAACTCCTGGTGAATCATGGATCTCGGCATTCTACATCATCTGCTGCAACCCTCTCAGACATGGAACTGTGTGTCTCCTAAGGAGGAACACCCCACTTACCTAGGCAGTCATTTTGTCCCCCCGCAAAAAAAAAAGAAAAGAAAAAAAGTAAAGGGGGAGGGGGTACTGGAACTAAGTCTCTAGATCCAACTACCAGTTTACAGGAAATACAGAGGATGAAAAAACTTGTTAAATGGCACCCCGTGAAAGTGATCGACCGAATCTAGAGTGTAAGAAAACTCAACAAGATGAACGATCTGGTGTTTTCAACAGATAAATTAGAAAAAGGAAAGAAATAAACCTAAAAATGAAAAGATACTTTAGAAACACGCCTTTAAAAAAAACAAAGTAAAACTAAACTATAATATTTAGGGATGTACACCTGTGTGATAGAACAATTTTAAAAAGCAAGAACGTGACCCCCTAAAAACCAGAACAGTGGTGGTTACTGTTAAAGGAAATAAAAGGGTTGTGTTTGGGAGAGGGCACTGCATTATGTAAACACATTTCTCAATATCCTGCTCAAAAGCGTGGCATCAGTAAAAGCAGAATGCAGAGCCAAAATGTAGAAAGAAAAAAAAAAAAAAAAACAGAACCTAAATAGCATAACATCACTTTTAATTACATTTTAAAACTTTATAAAAATGCTTCCTTAAGCAATGACCAGGTGCAAAATTTGCAAACAGTGAAGTACAGCTAGTGTGAAGTGCTTTGTGAGCACATGCCCAAAATACCTAGTCGCATAATTACAGAAGTGCTGAGTTGAATTTTATGCACAAAAAGAAAGGTAAAAAACAAAACAAAACAAAAAAAACCCTAGGTATAGACAGATCTTAACAAGATTCAATTATACAGAGAAAAAACTGAAGTGGTCAAACTGAAGGAATTTGCATATTTTTGTGCATTTGCTGAGCATCTACTGCATACCAGAAATTACATTAGGTACTAGTAACAGGAGAAAATGTTTTAAGATATATCATATTTGGTCCTAAGCTTCTGTTTTCTATAAATTTTCCTCCTTCAGCTTTAGCTCTGGGGTACCCTGAAAACCTAGGCCTGTCTTTCTGTCAAGGAAATTTACTTCGTCAATTTCACAAAGGAGTTCTCCATACAGTCTGTCTTCACCCCAATATAGCATATTCTGTTATCTTACCATATTACAGAAAGTGCTTTATCATAGGTTAAAAATGGCCTTAACTGTCTAACCTGACTACCTCTTTTCCTTCCTTGTGGGAGACAGACCATCTACCAAAGTCTGTAGACTTTGGTAATGTAACAAACACTTTCTTCCACTGTGACTATGAAAGAGAATAATAAAGGGAACCAAATCTATGTTGACAGAGGAATAATTCTTCAAAGGAATGTTACATTAAGAAATTGTTGATAGAGCATTGTTATTGATGACTTAAACCTGCTTTCTATATATTGGATCTCCCCTAAATGCGAAAATTCTTTCATATCTTGCAAAACTCTGCTCAGTTGTTGCTTCAGGGACAAAGCCTTTGCAGATTTCTTGAGTTGTTTCCCCAGGTCTGAGCTGAGTGTCACTCATTACTGCTGGCCTCTGCCCAGCCCGGGTTTACATTGGCAAAGCCACCTTGCTCAGAATTGAGGAGACCCAGGCCTTGCTGTAGGCCATGGAGTTGCCAGAGGTTCTGATCACCCAGAGAAAGCTATTGTGACCCTTGCATTATTTCTTGGGCACCCTGTGGGGGTTGAATACAGACCATCTTTCTTGTTGGAGGGCTGGCAAGAAGACAAGACCGCATTATCACTCCTAGCAGGAGGCATTACAGAGGTATTTACATTCCAGAAGGGGACTCCAGGGCACCACACTCTTTTCAATGATGTGGCTCACTGGAGCCTCTTAAAATATCGGGAAGTTACAATATGAACGATCACGTCCATGTCATAAGGGAACAGCCCCGTGTCAGGTTCCTTGCCTGAGGTGACTCACAGGGCAACACCACGTATCTTTATGTTGGACACCTCAGCTTCCTCATTTGTAAAATGGCACAAGACATATTTCATGAGACTACAGAAAGGATTAAATGAGCTATCATAAGGAAAATTTTAGTGATATATTAATTGCTGAATAATTTCCCACTTAACTTCCTCTCAATATTGATCTCACTGGGGAATATAACAAAAGCTATCAGGTATTGCCTGAAGTTCTGTATTGCTCATATCATTTAATCTTTACAGCAATTCTATAAGTACAATTTTTATCATTCCTACTTCATAGAGGAGGAAGCTGAGGCAAAGAAAGGTTAACTATCTTTCCCTAGATCATATATCATGATAATGACCGATATGAATACAAATTTGGGTGTGGCTGAGTCCAGATTCTCATAACCAACTATGTGTACCAACTCCCAAAGATATGAAATTCTCATGACAATGAAATTAACTTCCTCATCACTTTCAAACTATTGAACTGAGGTTTTATTTTTTTTTAAGATTTTATTTATTTATTTGAGAGAGAGCATGCGAGCACGTGCACAAGCAGGGGGAGGGGCGCAGAGAGAGGGACAAACAGACTCTGGACTGAGCAGGGAGCCTGATGCGGGGCTTGATCTCATGACCCTGAGACCATGACCTGAGCCGAAATCAAGAGTTGGATACCTAACCGACTGAGCAACCCAGGCGCCCCTAAACTGAGATTTTAAATGAAAGAAAATATTAAGAGAAGATGAAATAAATTTATAATACAGCAATGTGATGGTAGACAAATGGTATGATCAACATATTTTAAACATTCACACTTTGAACTAAATGATTCTATTAAAACTGCACTGTAGCCTCTAAGTCAGGCCAGGTTCCGAGCTCTAATCATTACCTCCCTGTTTCTTGTAATACTTCACAGATGCTTCTGCAGCTTGCTTTCCTATCAGAAAATCAAAAATATGTGAAGAGTTTTACCTCTAACTTTAAAATATTTTGTAATTAGCCAACAAACTAATATGTCCATTGAACTCAACGGACAATGTTTCAACTTCCCCAAAACCATAACTACAATGCATTTCTGCTATTTAGAGGATTGCAAAAACATCCATGATATCTACATTTCTAAGACTATACCTATTTGCTCAGTTTCTGAACTATATTTTTAAGACTGTTCTTAAAGTCATACAGTAATTTACACCTGTCTCTTATTTTCATAATTAAAATTTTAAAAGTATATGGACATTTAAGCAATTTGAAATCTTCAAAGAAATGATAACAGTTAGACCTTAATGGGCCCATTTAGGAATCGTATCACTTGAAATAAGTCTATTTTGTTCCTTTATAAAAAAGAAAAAAGTGGAAAAAGCAAATGAAAATTTCTTGCATAGGACAGTGTTTCCCAACACGCTTTAAAAGCAGAAACTTTTATTTATAATAGTTAAATGTACCACAACATAAAAAACTGGCAAAATGGGACAATTCTGGCTGAGGCAGAGAGAGGAAATACGGAGCTTTCCTTTATTTTACCATAGAAGTCAGTGAGGTCCCATGTTATATCCTAAAATATAGATGGAACATCTAGAATCTTTATAGAAATAATTCAGATGGCCACTCTAACATGAAGCCAACACTCCCGTGTAAAAGTGAAACATTCAATCCTATTTTTAACATGTTGCTCCATTTATATGATGCTCCTTACCATATGGATTTTAACTAAGTTTATAAAATAACTCCTCTGAATAAGAATAAAACACATATATCTTAAACTTCATATTCAAAATTTGTACAATAACTAAAGAAATGTGTTCCTTGATTCTTATAATTTTCACCTCCTCCCAAATTAAATTTCATTCATGATCTTTTTTTTCACTGAATCTATCAAGTTATTTACATGCATCTGATCAGCGCAGTACTGATGTGATAGAGTCTAAAATACCCGTGGTTCCTGAATTCCATAGCTTAGAATAGAAAATCACCAACGTGCACAGGAAACCCAAAGGTTGTAAGCCTAACCTGAGTATAAAAGAGTGTATGGGTCTGTATGTATATGTGTGTCTATGTACATAATACACACATATACGCACATAATCTCAAAGTCCTCCCTT